TTGCTCATTACTCACTGATTATTATTAGTTTTGCTTTAATTATTTTAATTCAAAGTAACAATGCTCCAAATAATAATGCTCCAAAATAACAGAACCATAGCAAAATTTGAAGCAAGGCCCCCTTAACTGAACTAATAGTGCTTCAAATGATGATTATGACCTAAATACTGTTTATAAAAAAAAAAATGAGGATCTAAGATTAGCAAAAAGTAATGAGTTAATAAAAGTCCTTGTGTCACCACTCGATTTSTCCATGGATTACTCTTTTCATGACTGTATGTCATTTCTTTAGCCACCAAACTGCATAAACTGCATCTTGCCAATTGATGTGCCACTACCTTGGTACTCTTTACATTCCTTCAATTTTTTTACCTTCACTCAATTTAAGTCTGCATGCAACTCTCACCACAGATTAGCTGTGTATCACTAAGCCACAAGAACACTCAGGCAGCGAGCACTGGTTCCAGTTTAACACCTCGGAGGGATCTCATTTTGAATGGTCCACATCAGTCCTTGGCCAACAGCAACACAGGGCAGCAAAAGCCAGCCCAGGCAGGAGCGTTAACCAAGCTGCACTACTTGGAGACACATTCTGCACCCCGACCAAGATGAAGCCTCACTGACACGCTCCCTTGGAGTCCAGTGTTAAACCCCTGCTTCCACCCAGCATTAGGGAACACGGTGCTCGTGTCCTCTGCAGCTGTGAGCACCTTCTGGGCACTTCTCCACCAAGGAGAGGGTGTTATTAACTGCAGATGTCATTTCTGCCCTGAGCTCTTGGAAAGTCTCCCTACACTGTCACATAAGTGCCACATTTTACCTCACAACCAGTATATGCTCCTCATACCTTAACAAAGGGGGTTATGGATGGGGTTAGATACCTCTATGGATCCTTTTCACCTTGTTGATGTTTTCATTGATACACATTGCTTCTTACCATGTTTTCAGGTACAACACCACTACTAATATAGTCTGCAGAAAGCCCATATCAATTATTTAGRAAATGTCAAGAGTTTTTAATCTAGTCTTAATCCCTGAATCCATCCGGTAATGCAACTGGATTAACAGAGCTGTTTAAGGAACATTTTCTCCTTACATACAGGAATCATTGGGTAAATAGGCAAATAAAATCATGTCTGACAGTAGAAAATCTTATTTTTCTTTTTTTAATTATTCCACTTTGAAGGGAATAATTTTAGCTATAAAAGGCATCACTTAACAGACACTTTCATGCAAAAATACAACGGCTACAACTGAGCAGGAGTATAATACATAGTGGCCATTTTTCATGGTCATCTTGACTTGGTACATGCTGTATGTTGGTCACTATGTACTTATGTCAGCATAGCACTTATTACTTAGAGGCTACACAAGCATTTTGATGATAGGTGGCTAAAATATGTTTTCCATGGTGAGGATAATTTTGACTCCCTTATCTAGGGTTTTAATCAGCATCTAACACGCTTCCTCCAGACCCTGCAGCTGCTGAAGGAGACAGACATCCATGCTAACTTCATGGCTGCTATAATTTAATTTAGCAGCTCCCGTCCCGAGACTCCACAGGACAAAACCATCTCTGCTCCAGCTACAGCAGCTCCCCTGCCCCCAAACCATGCTCATTTTCTCCATCCACGATTTCTGCTCTCCTTGCAATGGCATGCAATTTTCGCATAGAGAGAGACATAGATGGTGTCAAAAAAGGGAGTAAGGAGGTTGTATCATCTTCCTGGATGGCTGCATGGGGAAGGAGGGAAAACTTTCCTCATGCATCTATGAATGTAAAGAAAAGCCAACCAAACCTCACTTTTCCATGATTCTTGCAGCGTGGGGAGAAAGGCGGCCACAGAGCAAGGAGACCCCCTCCTTGCAAACAGCAAGGCCTCAAAGCAAAGGCAGCTGCCCAGAGCACTCCCAGCTCTCACCAAAACTGCTGTTTAAATTGTAGGGAATAAAACACATTTAGAGAATCAAAAGCTGCAAGTTTAGGGATGCTGTGCTTTCTATTGACAATATTGAATTTCTTTTTCTTAATCTGGTTTCTCCTTGAAGTCACGGGGACTTTCCAAATCACATCTCAGGATACGGTGTTACGGTACCATATGGCAGGCAAATTTCCCACCCAAGGCCAGACAAAGTGCACTGCCCCTGGCGCCGTTCTGCCTCCTTGTTAGACTGTTTTTTTTCCTCAAGTCAGTTTTGTGACTCACACCATCCCGCCCCTACCAAGGGAGACACCTCTGATGAACTGACAAGGAACTGCTTTCTCTTACTTTACATCTAAACGTAAAGCCAAATTGATATGCAATCTCCCTCGGCATTATCGAAAATTTCCAAGCCCTCTCTTCCCTGAACTACTATCCTAAAATGTTCTCTTCTATTACTCTGGTTTCTCAGAGGAAGGAAATGGACTTTACATGATAATGCATATTAAAATATGTGGCACATATCCACATACTAGTACTAACAAAATCCTGCAACACAGCTGACTACAGAAAATGCATGCAGCATGCAATTGTTTTTTCCAGATCCTACAGGTCTGTGATCATTCTAATCTGATCGCTCATCCTTATATTTTTGGATCAAATGAGTTAAGCAAATGTCTAGGCTTAGAATTGAAAAAATAACCAAGGCAGACAGATATTTTAAGTATCTGAATGAAATTGAAAAGCCTGAAAATGACTTGGCAAAATAGTGTAACTAAACTGTTATTGAAATATCCTGTAATTCCTGCTCCAATTTTATGTATCCATATATAGATACATATATAGCCCATTAATGAAATTTGATCCTGAAGGGAGCTGGGAACCAGGAGTAGTGCAACAGTTTTTGACATTAAACTACAGCTCCCTTTTTTGCTGTCCTTTAATTTAAAAAGAAGACTTAAACTAGGTATAACATTTTTATTATAGTGAAATCATTTCACCTCCAGATATTTTTGCCACTGTTTAAACTAAATTTCARAACTTCAGAGGACAAACTGCTGCCATGTGTAATTGCCATTCAATAATTTAATATACTCATCCCCCCTGTACCCTCTCCCCACAAAAAACCAAAAATTCAACAGTGAAGAGTGCCCTTTATTTATTTGCTTTAGGAAGGAAAAGCACACTCCCTACTACCTGAGTTTCTATGATATTAGTTTGGGCCCATGAAACTTCCAGACCACTTCCAGCACGCAACTCTACACTTTGAATGTATAAGAAATAAGCAGAGTTTCATCAATTCAAGAGGGGCTGGATATAGGCCAGTGATGCAGAATACGGTTTTAAGAAGCAGTTACAAAGGAATAATTTTCATTTGTAAGCAAATCACACATTTTTTATGAGTAATATGTAATTTTCTGGAGTACTGTCATACGTAGGAAAATGATTCAAACACAAAATATTTAATCATTTTGTTGTGYCCCTATATTACAAACAAAGGCAATAAGCCTTTCATGGCTTAGTGATGGAGCGCTCACAGTGATGCTGTTGACTTATACTTACCAGCTACTGTTCTTAATTTCACTCACCAGTGTTAAACCAGGACACCTTTGTATTGACTCAACAAGCCTAWGTAAGTTGGTACTTCACTGGAAAACAGACCAACTGGCACAAAACACAGTATCAGGAGGTTGTTAAAATTTTATTCTCCACCCTTTTGAGCAAGGTAGATTCTTTCCAGACAAATTTAATTCAAATGTTTTATAAAACTGGTGTTGCCATCGTTCTGCATGAGGCAGCACAACCCAAGAAAGCTGCAGCTGAGCTATTCAGCAACCTCCTGAGCTGCAGTAGCAACTTCCACGGAGACTATACAGAGGGTATAGGCAGGATGGAAGGTGCAAATAAAGCTGTGGCATGATGAAAACGGGTGTTTGCTTTTACAAACCGAGACTTAGGTAACTTCTGGAATAATAACAAGAAGATTTGTTCAAAATGATACAGGTTTGAAGGTTTCATAAACTTCAATAGAAAAATGAAGGTTCTTGCACAAACCTCTGAGAGATAACAGATATATTTTAAGAACTGCTTCTGAGGCTGAGTGTGTTTTCTAAATATGCTTTTTCTCTGGTAGACACTGACTCACTGAAACACATACCTTATTAGTTAGTCTCATTTACCTAACAATTTTACCAGATACTTCATGAAAAAATTATATCAATGACAAACATACTGTGACTTAAACACCCARATGATAGATCAGTTCCTGAAAGTCAGCTTCTCAGAGGATTAAAAAAGAAAAGGTCATCCTGTTCTCCTCTTGGAGCCAGAAATCCTGAGTTCAGCTTTGGCAGCAACTCCGATGCCGGGCTCTCCAGAGGTCTGCATGGGATTAAAATTTCAAAAGCACTTAAAAGGTTTAGGAGCATGTCTCACTGTCAGAAGGGATTTAGACTAATGAGCTTAAGCATCACTAAATGTCCAGCTCCCTACCCTGCCTTGTCAAATCCAGTGAGGGGCAGGATTCTCACACAGCCCTTGACAAATGTGGATGCAATGGTTTGAAACACTGGAAGCTCAGGTCTCCAGCTTTCTCATGGAGATGACCCAACCAGAAAAAGCAGAATGTGACATAGGCCTTAGCCCAGTATAACCAATGACAGAGTAAGTTTGTACTAACAACCATGGTGGCTGTGACCCCAGGGACACCCCTTTTGCTACTCGTGGTACAATTATGAAGCAGACTTTAAAGGAAATAGGTCTATATTGCTGCAAGCAAATGTACCAAAGGTCATCTTCTGAATGCCATACACTCCTAAGCACCTGAGAATCTCCTAAAAGTTGGATGGATCCACCTCTTGGATGGTTCTGACAGAGTCACTCACTCTCCTTTGGCTTCATCCCTTTCCCTTGCTCTAAGGAGGCAGTGCCTATTCTAAGAGGGTAGTAGGCAACTTAATTTCAGTGGTTTCTTTCTTGTTTTAGTACTTTGTGTTGTTTTAAGACATGCAGAATACTAAGCAAAGAAATTAAACTGTTTATTTCATYTGCACTTTTGCAATTAAAAAAATATTCAAAAATCACCTGTACTATGGTATACTTGACCTATAATCTAAGTGTTCAGAATCTGTGATTTAAGAATATAGTAAACATGAAAGTGGTAATAGTCTATCCATCAGCTGCAGTGCTTATTTTTTTTWAAAATGGAATTTAATGGATTTCCTGATGTTTTATGCTTTCTATTGACAATGAGTTAACAATGAGTTGAGTTTGAAAGGAGAACAGATGGTTTATGTCACCTAAGAGTTCATGTGAACTTTTACACGGATAGGTGAGATGATAGAAAGAAGAAGGATTGAGGCCTCATAGTCATACTATTATGACTATAAATTATGATGAATATGCCCTGTCAACATGCAAATAAAAGAGCTGCTTTGTTGGAACAGTCAATCTTTATATAAAATCTGAGCCAAGATATCCAACCAATGGACACTGCACATAAACAGACTTCAGCAGTAAATTCTACCTGTTCAAGCTTTTCTTTTCTTTCTTTCTTTTTAAGATCTCACTTTTTATCAGTCCAAAACTCCCATTTAAGTGAAACACTGTCTTTTTGTAAGGGCTAAGTAAGAAATGAATAAGGACCCTGGCTTCTGGCCAGACTCCAGTACTATATAATTTCTTTGTCCTGGCAATTCGCAATCAATCACTAAGGTCTCTGTTGCTGGAAACTCATCTCATTACAAGTCTTTCAGGAAACATATATTTAGGAGTATATATATGTTAATAAGAGCATAACCCCACACAAYCATTGGCTTGGGATGGCAGAGGAGCACTTCCCCTCGAGAGGTCATTTATGTTGCCCACATCCAAGAGTGAAGTTGATCCAGAGCAGAGGAAGGTCGGTGATGCCTGCTCCGTGTTCAGAGAAGATCTTTGCTCTTGCTCAGCAAGCCAGGGAATCATCTCATTTCTGGAAGTAAGTCTTCTTTTTTCTGAGCTTTAGGTGGATGGCAGTTATAACAAAACCCATCAGGGTTGCTGCTGTGCCACAAACTGTGTAGGCAATTCCCAGGAATTGGTTACTTCCTCCACTCCATACCACAGTTGAAAGGATCACGTACTTCTTCCCCTTAAATTTGCTAACAGGGAAATCTGACAGAAGAATGTTAAGACTTCACTAATAAAGTTCACATCATTTTCAGTAGGGCAAGGTGCTCAAAGTTTTTTCCAAGCCATAAAGGAGCAAGAGATCTGCATTTGCTTTAAAAGTCCCTTAACTGATCTGAGAGCMCCCTACTAATATTATCCCCTCCCAAAAGCCTTGGTGCCCCCATCCCCACTACAACTAGCAGCCATCTGGTGGAAAGAAATGCAGATACTTCACWTACAGCCTCACTCTGATGCTGGAAATACTTTCTTTTAGATTCATATAAAATGCAGCTGCTACTGCACTTATTTGACATTTTTTTGTAATATTTTCAAGTAAAACTCATTGGAAAAAGAGCCTTTGGGGAACTGCATAAAAATGCTCATCTCTTTCTCTCATGTCCCGCCCATTCAGATTTTTTTCCCTATTATCTCTCCATGTGGAAATTGTCAGAATATAGTTATGCTATAGATGCTATAACATAGCATATTAATGCCATGGCTGTATTGGCTGAGAACAAGGATAAATGTAGAGTCATCTTGGCATAACTCTTGTTGACCAGACAATTGTGTTAGTGATGCTTATGCTGTTCAGCATGAGAGCACAGCGTCACCAGGAGAAAGATCCCAGTGGGTGCATAGCTCAGATCTGCTGGAGACATCCCAACCAGCTCAGTGGCACATGCTCCTCTGCACCTCTTGCTTCACAGAGGGTTGTAGACACTCTTGTGATTATGCTTGYATTAATTATTTGGGTATAACAACATCTTCAGCCATCTCTTCAATTTCCTACCTTTTGCGTAAAACCTGCTACTGCCACATTCTGTTTCTGGTCAAAGATGACCATCTCAGAAGCCAAATCTGAAGCCATGTCCTGTTGTTTGGGTAAAACATCCTAATATCTGCACAGGCTAACAGAAATCTACCTGTTGTCCTGCCTTGTCATCCTCAAAACTAGCTTTTTTTTTTCATGTTGATTTATTTGGGATGTTTTGCTTGGCTTTTTTTTTCCCCCATTTTATCAAAGAAACCCACTTCTACCCAATGGGCCACTATTTGACAGTTGTGGAGTGTCTTSGGCAATATGAAAGGATACTATAGGAAATACGGAAAGTGTAATTCCCTGCTGGGAGGCCATCAGCAAACTGCCTTGTGCGGCTGACACGGCGATAAAGATTTCTGAACGCAGAGAAGGCTGCTACTCGCATCCAGATAATGAGGTCATCGTTGATATACCCGTTGTTCCTTTCATCTTCCTCATCTAACATATATACTGGTTTCTGCCAGTAAGGAGGTCTGGCTGTCCCTGGTAAGGAAGAGAGAAAACAGTCAGTATGTCAGGTTCGTACTGTTAGTAAAAGGGAAGATTAACTGCTAACTTCTTGGGCACCTACTGATACCCAAAACAGAATAAGAAGGAAGTGACAAAAGATACAGCCCAGTATTTGAAAATGAYATATGTGAGAGAACATTTCACATCTAAAAACCTCCATGCATCTCCAACATGCATAAAAACAGTTTGGCATACAGCTTAGCTTCAGTTTCTGTTCATTAGTTCACTCTTGTACCACTAGAAATGCACCCTAAGATCATTAAATTCTGCATATTAATTCTACAGGAAAAAAAAAGCACATTCCATGATATTAAAAATATGCTATATGAACTACTTAGTTACTCAGTTACTACTGAATTAATTYGTTGAGGTGGGAAGAAGTATCTTTCATATGGCTTCTAGCACAGAAATAAAAATTTGCACAGCAGAAATTTTTAGCTCCACTTCAGCAGAGACTAATCCCCACACAAAAACAGCCCTAGTGAATGACTGTTTGAAAGGACTACTGAAGATGGCAGTCTTGCTTGTCTCACAGCTGCCTAGGAACCTGCAAAGGCAAGAGGTGGGAAATGAGGTGCAATTCTCCTTCATAGATGTTTTCAGTAGGAAAGCTAGAGATAGATTACATCCCGACCTTTTCTGGACAGAGTATATGGTTAGAAGAAGTAATACAAAAGGCAAATGACAAAGGCTAACTTGAGTCCTCTGAAACCACTCTCTCAGCTTCTGTGCTCAGTGGAAAGAGAAAGATGGATTTTTGCTAAATTTGGCTTCTACTGTCAGACAAACAGAGTTTCTTCTAGCAGCTATTTTTCCCAGGAGTGTTTTCCATCTCAGCATGGAGTTCTCTATACACTGTGGCTGGGGAGGAGAAGCCATAGGGACACAAGGAACACCAGCAGAACCATACTTACCTGCAAATGCAGAGGAAAGATTGTGCGCTACTGGATTGCGAAATTTCACATTTTTATCTGTCCACCAACTGTTTCCAGTCTTCAGTAGTGGGACTTGAATAACAGATGARTTAACATTGTAAAAAAGATCAATAGTATCTGTAGGGAATGTGAGAGGCAATAAGTATGAGTAAACAACAGATGTTTATAGTAAGTCTAATGGCCAACMTGACTAATGAAAAATGACACACTGAAGCACCTTTCAAGTGAACAGAAAGCTTGTGTACTCCACACAAAGAAGAATTAAATTTCCTCAGCCTTGGAGCTTTCACATTTTTAAAGACTGAACATATTCCTACCAATAAATTCTGCTGCATCCTTGTGTAGAAATACGTGCAAATATCTTCAGTCCCTCAACTCCTCTGTGACTAATGCCTTTGCAATTTCCTTTTGGAGCTGGAGGGGGAATGTGAGTTAATAGGAGTTACAGTTACTCTGATACTTACCTTTCTCTAGATTTTGTTTGCAGTTGTCCTGAGCTGGCTGTTTTGCTATACAACACATGTTTTGAGGCAGTAGAGGAGGGGTGAAAGTGCAACTAAGGGAATACGAGACCCTTAGTTTTCACTTTAGTTTTATACTAATGAGGCCATGTCTACCAGTCTGGCCACAAATACTATTTTTAATCAAAAGCCGCTTAGCTAAAATTGTGCTGACCCCTGTCATCCCGTTTCATGCACAAAGGTATTTGTTTTTTTCTATGATATTTTATTGCTAAAACTAATTAATTTAACACATGGAAAAAGCATTTCAGGTCTTGTTAGTACCTATGTAATTACCTAGGCAGCCAGGGGKATGACTGACAGAGGTGTTAAATGATATGGATGGGGATGAGCTGCATTTTAGGAAACATYGGGAACACAACTCAACTGCATGAGCACTACCAAAAGCTTCTGAACACGTACAGTCAGACACACTGTTCTGGGTGAACGACGATCAAGTGGATCTACAAGTTACTGTGTGCTGCTGTCCCTCCCAACACCTCGGTTGAGTGGAAAAGGTGCTGAAAAACGGCTGCTGCATTGCCCCAAACTGCTGTGTGGCACATGTGAGAAGAGTCAGAAGAAAAATGGTGGAGTGGAGAAGAAAAAAATCTCCCTTTTTTTTTTTTTTGCCTATTTACTTTCAAAGAAATCTATTCTGAAATCTTCCTGCATTCATGGCTAAAAGCCCTTTTCTAGATTTCAAGCTATAGGTATCCATAAGCAGACTATGCTCACAGGATTTCTATAAACAGGTTCAAAACCAGAATCTAATCAATTCAAGTTCAGAAACATGCCACCTCTTTCCACTGTGGGAGGCAGATGTTAGGCTCTTCCACTACTGAATGGAAGATATGAAGAGTAGTTTTTTAGCAGTGAAGTATGCTAAGTCTTTTCTGTACAACATCTCCCRTGTTTCACCAGGGCACTCAAATCCTCAGTCTTGCAGTAGACTCACATTGAGGAATTCCTTAGCAAGTGAAAAAAAAAATCTTCCCTAGGTGCGAAGTGAGAGACAAGCTGATGAGCAAGATGGAGCAGAGTCCCATACTCTACTCTAGGAGCACTGCCAGACAATATCCTAGGTGAAATCCTGCACTGGMAGGATCCGCTGGCTTGGGGAAATGGCAGTTTCAAGTGGAAATCAATAAGGCAGATGTGAAAGGTAATTACCATTGAATATGCTGTTGGCAATGGCACCGCACGGAGCCATCGGCGTGCCGTTCTGGTAAGTCGTGAAGGGCGCGCAGTAGCTGTTCTGAATCTGCATGCAAGGTCACARAGCAGTTAGGCACAGAACCTGCAAGGTTTTGGCTTGGTTGGTTGGTGTTAATGTCTTCCTCTCATTTCTTCTTCTGAAAAGTCACCAAATAATTAAAAGTTTCCAGGACCTTTTGGTCATGCTAGAGATGCATCCAATGAGGCTCTTGTTGAGGAAAATCTTCCATACCACATAGCAGGTAGACTAAGTAAGCTTGACATATGAGMACACAGACGGGAAACTAAAAGCTCATCTCAAAGTTATCAGCTGTCTACTACCCCAGCTTCTGAGAAGCTATAAATTTTCATATTTATGGACACAAACAACATTTCCAAGTAATTCTGATAAGCTGTGTGATTGAYACCAAAGCCAAAAGCCACTGGCACCTGAACACAAACTGGCACAGTGGGGCACCTGGAGAAGGAGCTGAGTGAGGAATGTGTCTTGAGAGCTACAAGAAGCTTCTGAGCAACTGATTGTGATGGGACAACTCTGTCAACTGACAGGACACTGTATGGATCACATTTTAGCTAGAGCTAAACATTGTAGCTAACAGCTACATTTTAGCTAATGAAAACACACTAAAGATTTGTAACTAAAACCCAGAGTTAGTGAAGTGATTGCAGTCTCCAATTTCTCCACGCTCTCATGCTGCATTTGCCTCCTCATGCATATCTTTGAATGGTACAGCATCACCTATTTCATCTTACACTTTTTCCTCATCCACTTCCAAAACCAGAAGACAATACTAACAATTAAAATAATTTAATGCTTAATTAAACCCAAACAAAACCATATCTTGAAAGATTAATATTGATATCTAAGAAGAYTAAAATCACTCGAAGGAAAGCTTTCTGTAATTATACTTAAAAGTATTTTTTTATAAATMATCATCATTAAAAGGTACAGGTTAGAGACCTGTAACATTGGACCAATATCTTCTATTTATAACTTTATTCCTCTCTTATTAACTTATTAAAAATGGGCCCTAGCAACCAGAAAAGCAGAGACAAACACTAAAAATCTGTATTTTCTCATTACTCCCTGGAGGCAACTCGACACACTCATAGTTATGCTTACTTAACTCTCCATCTGACAAAAATATGGATCATCTCATAATATAAAGAAGAAAACTTACATTGACATCTCGGCCCAACAATTGTTCATTACTTTTCGATATCATGTATCGACGGTGATTCTGATAAAAGTTTTGCAGCCCATAGTACATAAAAACATCACCCTAGAATTCAAAAAAGAAAAATCTTTTTAATTAGTTAGGTAGACAAGATAAATCCTCTTACGCAKTAAAAAAAAAGGGAAGGGAGTGCTSATAACTGCATTCCAGACACTCCGGCTAAAAATCTGGTCCTTACCCCTCTGAAAGTCTTTGTGCTTTGGCACAAATTTRAACATATTTCAATCCCCAAGTGAAACACAGTTTAAATGCATCATTATTATTTTACTCTAAATGGTAATGACTGGCCTGCAACGATTATGAATAATTTCACAGAGGCACCTGCTTTCCATAAAAGCAAAGTGCTCAAACAACTTCAAAAAGCAGACATTAACGCTTAATTCCTTCTGCTTTTTTTTTTTTTTTTTTTTTTTTTTTTTTTGTGTGTGTGTGTACAATAGGCCTATCCTGAGCTGTTTGAATCCTTTGCAAAGTTCAGCCCTATGATTTGAAGTAGAAAGCTGGCTGGCAAATATAAGCTGAGAAGAAGATTATTAAACTATTTCAAAATCATAATTCAGTTAAATAATTTTCTCATCTCCCAGGCATTACTGTAGCTGAAGGAATACTCGCAAAATATTTTAACAGCCTCTTTAATACTGAGGCACCCTGAAGTGACTTTGTAATTTCAAATCACACTGTAATTTTACAGGACTATTTATGCAGCACTAAGTATAAGATCTCCTTGGCAGAACATGAGGTGTTTTAAAAGCATCAGCAACATTACCCAGCAGTTTAGGACAGGAAATGAAGGATAATTTTTCCAAAAGAAACTGCAGAGTGACATTTCTAGCCCTGAGAAGTATCCAGGACCTTAGAGACTACCAGCATAACCCCTGTCAAAACTACCACAGGGACTTACTTAGGACAAGAGCTCAGAGCTGCAGTTTCATTTCTCACTTGAGAGCTTAGTACTGCGGTAACAACTTACACCAGGCCAAGTGCAAGGGTTTGCTACTGACTCAGAGAGAGGAATCACCTCCTGAATCAACAGCTTTTCTTCCACCCCTTAGTCCTGGAGACACCCTTGGAAACTTGGAGAATTCCTCTTTAACATGGGCCAAAACCAATAGGAAAGGCAAAAGTGTAAAATCGAATATTTCGTATTTATGAAAAGTAAAAAGAAAAACACAGCCAGGAGCGCCCCAGAACAGAAGGTATGTATTTTATCATACAGCGATATAAGTACTAAGCAATTTGAGCTGGATTCTCACGTCCACTCACCAACATATCTTCCTTTAGCACAAAGCCAGCAGAACAGTTGCACTCTTGATTCCAGTTAGAGGAATTTTCACGGAGTTTCGAACAATTTGAGCATTTATCTGAATAATTAATCTGTCAGAGAAGTGAACAAGGACAGAACATCATACTAAAGGACATGAAAATAGGAAAAGATGGGGCTTTTGCTTCAAGAATTCTCAGAGCAGTTCTCTCCTAAAGGTTCCAGATAGCCAAAAAGTATTGGTAAGACAAACACATAAACCAGTCCACAATAGAAAAATAAAGAATCAGGGCTTGGACTCACGACATAGACTGGCACATTCACAAATTGAACCCCTTTTTAAAAACTTGTTTAGTGCCTTTTGATGACTGCAGGAAAACTATTACATTCACTCCTCAGCAAGCAATGCTCAACGAGCACATCAAACACCCTCATAATCGTGGTCTGTCCCTCGTGAACAACCATCTGGATGTCCAAGCAGAAGTCTGTGGGCACCAACAAAGGCAAAAACAATGCATCCACCGAAAGACAGCATTTAAACATTATCACTTTCTGCTGGGGTAAAGTATTTTGCCTTTTTACTACTGAACACTATCAAAGAGACTATTTCATTTCTCTTTAAATATCAGAAAGTAATGAAATACTTGGAAATACCAGTGTTTCAGATGTTGCCTAGTGCTAACCACTTCTGATCGGTGACCACGTATCCCGGGAGATTTTCAAAGGATTATTGGCTCTTCAACATGTGCTCAGTGCAGGAAGCCACTGCTATCCCCTTTATCCAGAGCACAAATTCGAATGTTTTTACCCCAGACACAGGCCAGTTTCTCCTTAACAGGACATAAGAACAAACCTCGATCTCCCTGACGCTGTTTGTGGACAGGATGAGGCAGATTCCCGCGGCRAGGCAGACCGCTCCGATGACAAAGAAGCTGGAGAGAACCGTGGCAATGGAGAGCTGCGGCTTCCAGGCTGGCAGCTTCTGCTGCTTGAAGGCACTGTTGTCCGGACACCTGGAAGGATGAGCCTGGGCTTCCTGGCCCGTCTTGGTTTTCATATTCCTCTTGGTGAGAGGAAGGAATAATACACTTGTGATGGAGGATATTTAAGCTGAGACGCTGTCCTTTCTGCTGGGAACTTGCACTGTTTGTTCAAACCTACGTTATGACAGGAATTACTCATTAACCAGATCGCTCTCTTCCTCACTTTCTGTATTTATTCCTGGATCAGCATGATCAGCTTACACCAATCACTTGGCTGTGTACTTTAGTCGGASCATCCAGCTCACGCCTCCTGTAAAGACTTAACTACATGTTTTATTTCCTGCCTCACAATAGTTGTATTATTTGTTGTGTCTTATTCAAATGCAGAGATATTGGAATTCCTGTACAATCTTGGGTTCGTAATTTCTTCCTCCTTCACTTTCAGAACTGCCCGGCTAAGCAGGGGATAAAATGAAAGGGGCTTTTGCTGCAGTTGTACTRGATTCTGCTGCAGAAAACTGCTGTGGCCCAGAAGCTCTCTTCTAAATCATCTAATGCCAACCTACATTGCTTGAGGGAAGCAAATAATACAAATTTCTTAAYCTATTGCATTAATTGCTATTGATACAGTTTAGCTTTGTGAAAAAGCTGATGAGGGCAATTAGTTCTAAAAGCACTGATTTGGATCAACAGCCTCACAAGACACCGATAAGTTGCCCACCTAAACTCATCCTGACCTTCTATGAAAAAAGTTCTCACTTCTTGTTAATCACAAACACCACAGAATCACCCAGAGACCATCTCTTTTTAATTTAAATGGACAAACAGCAGAATATGCTTTAGCAGCTTAAGCAAGATAAAGTCTCAATTTAATATACAGAAATTTTAATTTAAATTTATTACATAATATCAGAAAATAACACTTGTTAAGTGCAGGACAGAAATTCACACACTGTTGTTAAAGAAACTCTAGGGCAAGAGCTAGCAAGGCTTGGCTTACTACTCTCATGAGAGAAGCAAATGTTAACTTTGGGACAGAAGAAGGAGATATCAGAGAATCTGTGTCAGAGATATAAGAGAACTGATATCAGAGAACTGAGACTTTCAAACCCATGTTCATTCATCTTAAATGTCTAAATGACATAAAATAGCAAATCTAACAAGTGAATGCAATGCACATCTAATTGCATTATCACATTGCTTGCACAATAAAAGGCCTCCATACAAAAACTGCAGACAAAATATGCTTTATTATTAGAGGAAACTCATAAAAAGCTGCAATGTGCACAGGGTTCTCAAAAGTCAAAATTCTTAATTCAATCAACCATTGATCACTTGTCAGTTACAGACAAGATAATAGTAGATGACAACTGCAGACTACTCTCTTGTTGGTGAAACCATTAAAAGAGTCCCAGCTTCACTGAGCCCTCTCTGCACAGCTTTATAATTCTCATCTCCAGCAGGTCAATTGTTTCTTTCTTTATCTGGAGGGGAAAAAAAAAAAGGTAGAAAAATCAAACAAAGCACCAACAGTTACTGATAATGTTTTGGATACGCGCCACTATTTATTTACTTAGGGACTGCATTATCAGATTCAAAATTAGAGAAGTTCCTGTTCAGAGTCCTGAACTCCATCCAGAAGGTTTCCATTTTGCAATATATCTAGCTGCTCTGCARTCCTAAAGTGCAACTACAGCTCGTGCAGTCACATCTAACAGAGTATGCTACAAATAAGCTGTAATTGATACAGGGCTGATTGATAAAGCTTGCCAGGGGGAGAGATCCCCTTGGGCTGCAAAATCCTTGGGAGGCTTTCCTGTGTCTGTAGGTCCAATGGGAGCATTCCTCTTCTACAGCCACGTGTGCATCAGGGTCTGAATCACCCGACAAAAATCAAACACTGGCCTACATGAGCTGCAGGCTGACTATTCTGGATTATAAGAAGATAATAACACATGCCTGTAGTTGGTTGCTTATACAAAGATAAAAGACAAATGTATTTGAGAATAAACTTAGGCTACTTATTTCAGCAGGGAAATATACCTCTCTATTATTGTTCTTGCCCTGGAGCTTTCTTATAACTCTTTTTTTCCACTTCCACTTCTGAATAACTTGTTGGAAAGTTTTCTTTAAGGATTATGCCCTTCCCCACTTCCTCTTGGCACAGGAATAAGTTACATGAGAAAGTGTGACCAGTCTCTATTCGATATTACATGTGTTACATCACGGTTAAAACACTGCTCTTCCTATGACAAGTCCCTTTCTTACAAACTCTTTTACTGAGATAGGACATGAAATCTGAAACTTAAACTTAGCATTTTTAAATCTTGTCAATGCTCAGGGCTTACAATAGTTACAGAAGGAAAAATATAACCTGTTATGCAAAATGTTTAAAAAAAACTCCACTTTTAAATCTTACAAACAAGTAACTTTGGGAGTTGAAACAGTTCTGTATTGCCATCTCCATCTATAGAGGAAGCTTTCAAAGCCAGAAACCTCATTTTTATTTCCTTCTCTCTATTGGTTGGGATGAAAAGAGTGACAGACATATTAAAAACAAAGAGCATTAATTAATGAGATGTTGCAGCAACTAAGAGCTCTGGATTGGGGTGATAATCCGTTCTGTGAATATGATGGGGTACAGAGGGATACATGTGAGGATTCTAGAGATTTAATTAACAAATATATCAGAATAAACCCCTATGTGCATAAAACTCCAGAGAGCATGTCGGAAATCACAGGAACAGCAAAAAGCTTTAAAACGAAGCTACAGATTTCCTTTTTAGTGAAAAGTATACATGCCATCAGCTGTTCTTTATCTCTATTTCACTATGTTSGTTGGCTTATTTATATTAAACTGTATCCGTGCAGCACCCTAGAAATAAAATGAAATGAGGTGGAATTGTGGAAAAAGTGCAGTCTGCACTGGAATAGGTTAAGTATGCCCTATTTCCAACCTCAAGGGCAGAGTTGTCCTGCCTCAACCAATACAAGGCACACAAAAAAATTAGTACATATAATCTCAAATTCTTTAAATTGTGTTGCTGGCAGTAAAAATCTTCCAAGGAAACCTGTGACTAGAGCTGTAGTTTCACAACTGTGTGCAAAGAATGGGAAGTCCCTTATAAGATACAGATTACTAATGAACATGCATTTGACAAATTCTACACATGGGAGAGGGAGATGCCCTGCTAACTAGGTCAGCATTCCCATATTTCAAATCTGCATGTTGCCAAAATAGCTCCCTGATTTCCACCGTGTTACGGTGCCTTGTCTCTAAAACCTTATCTGGGTGCCTTTTATCACTTACAGTCTATACAAATAGCTTCTGGCGAATCTCTCTGCTGTCTGCAGCAGCACAAAGTGCTGCAAGATGCTTCACTTGAATAGTTCAAGTTGTCAAAAACATTTCTGTATAGTGTATTTTCTGGGCTACAGTGCATGTTTGAAGATTTTTCCGTAATCCATATACACTGTTCTGGAATCATATATACACACCTATTCCTTATGTTACTGCTATACATGTAGGTGTTACATTTCTACATATTTGGTTTCAACTTGAACTATGCCTGAATTCTGAGCACTTACTTCTGTAAATCTTAATGTTAGGTTAGACATTTTCCCTTAATAAAACGCATCTGTAGTTACAATTTTTGGACTGTATTCCCAGACAGGCATGAACAAATGTTGTGATGCTACACAGAGTGAACTGAAGGTGAGAGCTCAGGTTTGCAATAAAAGCAAGTATCAGCAATACCATCTTCAGCTTACTGAAGTGGATTACACAAAGTCTGTGTGTCTACCTGCTTCATCTGACTCGCAAAAATTCATTCCACTGCATCCAGCAACTTCGGAACTACTGCCTTGAGCTGGTGCTTCTGTGACTCATCTTTCTTTGTTCCCTAAAATACCCCTATAACCTGTTTAAAACAGCTAAGTGCAAGCCATCTTAACAAAAAAGGCCTTGGGTTACTTGCCACAAGAGGGAGCCTTCTGGCCTCAATAATCAAAGCTATTCTTTTTTGTCCCTTCACTTAGGCAACGCATTTTTGCAGGTAAGGTACTCTATCCAGTTTTATTAGAAACATGCATGTTTCTGTTTGTGGATGTGTAATATAAAGAATATTCAAATATATCGACAAGTGAAGAGCACTTTTAATGACTCACAATTTGTTTCCCTTGTGAATGAGCTCAATGTCTATCCGCAAATTTATCCTGGAATTTCTGAAATATTAGCCTAAGTCTGTGCCCAAGTTCTGAGAGTACAGACTGGCAAATAAAATGTTGTCTCCTCTGTGCTTCTGAAACCTGCTTTACAGAAAGGAAACTTGACAGACAAGATCTAGGCACTAGTTTTGTCTGAATCAAAAGTCCTGAGTACACAGAATACAATATATACAAGCTCTTGCATAATACCTCAGGGATATCCATCATTCTCCTTAGCTTCTGATCTCTCCAATTCCAATCCAGAATCATATACTTTGTGGAGTTCAGGCACAGGCCATCTGAAAAGGCAACACAATTTTTAATACCAAGATTACATGATATGTGCTAATCAAAAAGATTTTTGATTCCTATATCCTTTGCCCTCAGTTCCCAAGGAAACTAGTCTTTGAACACTAAAAACTACATGTGCTGGTTGGAAAAGTAATGCAATGACACTGCAGACTCCCTTAACCACATAATCTCATGTCTTTTTGGAAGATAAACACAGAAGCAGAACAACTACTGTTGCCAGGCTTGTCAAGAGCTARCATCCTGCCAGCGAATAATTCCCCAAGCTTCCTTTCCATGAAACCACAGGAGTTGAATTTCAGGGCTGATGAGGTGCTGGTAGGTTGCAGGGACCAAAGCCTGGAAAAGTCCTTTAATGAGATGTGACAGAGCTCAGCAATTTACAGGAGTGGGTGCAATGTGCATGCGAGTCAGGTGCTACCAAAATATTCCCTTATCCTTCAAATAAATGTTGGTGAGAGGGGAAAAGGGCCTTCTCTGAACTGATCCTTTCGGAGTCCTCATATGTTTCCCTGGTCTTCCTTATGATGTTGAGGAGTTTTCTGACTCATCTCCATTCTTCAGTGACCTGCCACTAAAACATCAAACTGTAAACCTGCCCTAGCCTGTCCCTCCTAACAGGGCTATGTACTGATGTGCCAAACAGTACAGGTTTCATGTTCCCAGAGAACCTAAGGAATCACCAAAATTATGCTATTCTCCTGCCCCTTTATGGAAGAAGTACAGTCCCAACCCACAGCCAGTCCCTGAACAGCAACCACAGCTGGAGCCCAGCAGTGATTATAAAGTGGAACAGAGAGAGTCACTTTATCATCTTGTGATTTTGTTGTTTGTTTGGGTTTGTTTGTAAATAACATCTAAGTAAAACTACTCAAGGCTTGGGATGAGAAAAGGAGATTTATATAGAATAATTAATTTTATTACAAGGGAAATCAGGAAGAGAATCAAATCAACAAGCAGATGTCTTATCTACCCCCTGCAGAAGTTTACATTGAGCTCAGAGCGATACATGATACAACAACTTCTTCCATTACTTCCTTCTGATTCTTGAGCAGTGCTTGGTTTCCTGGAACTTTAAATCTTACAACAGAGTTTTGCAATCACTTACAAGTCAGCATAAATCACTGTTGTTGCCAGAAGAGGAAGTCCCCCACCTCTGCCTTCTCATGACCCAATTCTGCATGCCGGTTGCATTTGGTGCTAATTTTAATTAGGATCATTTTGACCAGCAGAGTAGAATGGAAAAGTAAAGCTCCACAGCTTAGTCACCAAATCCACAGACTCTACTCAGTCTAAGGCCATCAAAAGCAGCAGAAGTCCCACTTCTYGAACCATGTGTAAGCAAAACAGTTCTACTTATACTTCTACTGAAGCAAAACTTCCTTGGTCTCCTACCTTGCTCCACTAGCGCTTTTATTCTCCCAGGAGTTCCCACTCCAATGTGGAAGATGCCTTTTTCCAACATAGTCGTCTGCTCTTTTATCTAATTTGAAGGGAGAAAGACAAGTCACAGTAAAACCATAAATGTTTAAAATTTCTTCTCAGAGGGTATTTCCTGGATGGAAATAAATTCATGATGACACAGCTCTTTTCTAAATTACCATCAAGTAGTAAATACAACTCATCTTTCAGATGATAAATCTGGGAAAGAGTGCTGTTAATCTGCCTAGACACTGGAAAAGGGTGAATTAAAGCATGTGGCATGTGTATGTTCGATTGTGTTTACATCAAAGGCTAAGATCACTACCTCCAATATTGCCATCACATATGCTTGCCAATAGCTATGACTATTGGGGATCCAGGCATCTCAGTACCACATGTATCTATAGACAGTGGTAGAGTTTGCTTCTACAAGTGCATGTGTGAGACTTGCTTGTATTTAAACATGCAGATGCCATCTGAAAGAGCACCTCCCAACAATGGGGAACACCTCCACACACGGTGTGAATCACACAGTATGCAGGCATCTACACTGTGCATGGGATTGCATCGGAGCCACGGGACAGCCTGGAGAGGGCATTTGGCCAGACGGGCGCAACTGCTACACGGCTCCGAGAGGAACACTAAATGAAAGGTGTTATTATCCCCCCTTCAAAAGCACCTAGTGACACCAGTTAAATGGTTTAGTTTTACAAAAAAAAAAAAAAAAAAAAAAAAAAAAAAAAAAAAAAACAGTTTTATATCTCGGTAGCTTTCTTACCTTTATGTGCTTTGCAAACAATTTGAGGACTCTGCAGTCTCCTTTAAATGCTGTCATTGATCTAGCAATAAAACAATTGAAAAAGTAAATGTGGGCATAAGGGCTAGCATTAAGACCACATGGGAGGAAAGCAAAACTAGCTGGCATTTCTCAGCACGCTTGAGACACACAGCTCCCCAGTGACTCTTATTTGAGCTTTGAAATCTATGTTCATTCTTGTTTTCTACTTGGGGAAACCAACAACTAGAAAAACAGAACAGCAGATACAATTAAGAAGCAATGTTGTTTAGATAAAGTGTCAGTTAATATTTAATAGTCACTGTCTGTACTTTCACAACTAAGTTCTACATGGAGTAATTGCTAAATTCAAAAATATCTCTGTTACTGATATGCAAGCATGACTGAGCACGARTGTGCAGGCAGAGAAAGAAAAGATCAGGGAATCTCCTTTTTACAGACTCTTCAGGCAGTGCTGCAATTGGGAACACATAGGCTGCCACAGCTTTTACTACAGAAAGAAACTCAGTTGACCAAAATTTGTTTGCCTGAAAACCTGACTTGCTCTTAGRCTCTACACTTGGGCACATAATCAAAAGCTTCATGATTCTTACYAACTGAGCAGGAGACAAGACATTCTGTTATTTACTGAGTGTCATTTAAGGTAGACTTTTTCTGAATACTTTTTGCAGCAAACTAAATTTTCAAATTTTTCTTTTGCAAAGCTAAATGTTTATATGCAAATAGCAAATATACACGTAAGCCACCTGATGGTACTGTCTGCATGCAGATGCTAAGCACAACAGGCACATCTGTCATTTCTACACTTTTATCTGTAGTATAAACTTCCTAACTCATGATCTCATATTGTGCTAATAATAGCAGGATAATCATGGGAAACAGGGTCATGGCACAAAAGACAACCATGAAATCTGAGAGATATATAATTTAACAAAGTTATCAAGATTTCCTGGAATGAGGTGAAGAAAGAGAGGGGAAGAGAAGGTAAAAAGGAGGATAAGGCACATGGAAAGGCATCCTAAGTTGTCTGTGAACAATGACATGGATGTCGAGGCATCGAGGCCAGAAACCGGCCTCGCCACTGGAGGTCCTGGAACGCCATGTCCTCACTATGTCACCATGTCACTGGTGCCAGCAACATCATGACCCTACAGTCACAACTGCTAGTGGCGGGTCATGATGTTTTATGGGCTTATTGTGTTCCAAAGTAGAACATGTTGCGTGTTTCCCTGAAGTTGGCTACCCTTTAGTTTTGTTTTTTAACAAAAATAGCAATTCCAAGCAGCTGAACTCCTATGTGTTACTTTAGTCTGAAATTACCCACTCCACCCCCATAGTTTAAAGCAGAAAGGGACAGTCAGTTTGAGTCAGTAACTTTTTTGGCTAGCAGARGACAGTGTCCCAGTTTTGCCTTTACATCTGTGGTTCCAAGACAAAACCCCTGAACAACAGCCAACCTCAACAAAACGTTTGCTATCAACATACTTGATGAGTTCCAAGGATCGAAGGGCAGAACTGCAGATAACCAGGATCACCACTGACTTTGTCTCCTTGTGGTTTTTACGAAGTTTTGCCCATTTAGGACAAACTGAAATGAAAAAGCCCATATAACACATTAAGAAAGTGCTACTTATATCCACACCACGATTCTAAATTACAAGAGTACATGATGAATGGCAGTCAACAGTGAGAACACACACGCTGTCTCCTATGAGGTCTGGATCTGGGGCAAAACTTCTAAATTTAGTTTTTGGCCACTGGAAAATGTAATGTCCAATATAAATAAAACAGACATTATATAACTGAGCAAACTAGATAAGCATTAAAATTCAGCTTTTCGAATGGTGACAAGCCCAGTGCCTTCGTTTACCACATACAGTAATTTGAATAAGAGAAAAACAATTGAAAATAAATGTTTACTAGGTCAAGACTTCTACACAAATATGTAAGAGAATAAAAATGCTCTTTCTTAATTCTAGTAGACAGTTCCAAGAGTGTTACTGTAAGATAATACATGTACTTTCTTAAGAAGCAACTATAAATCACTTAGAAAGAATCTGAGGCAATCAAAAGAAACCCAAGAAATTTTGATGCAAAGAGAAGTTATAGAGTAAAAAAGAATGAGGAACACAAAACCTCAGGCAAAAAAAATATGCAAATGAAACCAAAACGCAACGCCCTAAATAATTATTGAAGTTTTCAGAGAATCACAGAGTGGATGAGATTGGAAGGGACCTCTAGAGATCATCTCATCCAACCCCCTCCTCCAGCAGGGACATGTAGAGCACGAGGCACATGGTGGAATYCAGGTGGGTTTGGAAGTTCTCCAGAGAAGGAGACTCCACAACCTCCCTGGGCAGCCTGTGCCAGGGCTCTGTCACAGCAAAGAAGTTCTTCCTCACATGGAGATGAGGAAGTGTGTTTCAACTTGTCCTGTGTTTCAACTTGTACCCACTGCCCCTTGTCCTATCACTGGCCACCACTGCGAAGAGTTTGTCCCTCTCCTCCCTACATTCACCCTTCAGGTATTTAAGGTATCTGTGGGTGCAGATAAAAAGCTGCAATAATAATGTTTTTTTAATACAACTCTTCTCATTCTGACCAACATTTTAACTTACTTTCCTTCAGGTATGAAGAAAAACTGTGGGTGAGATCATTGGCTGGCAAAAAGCAGGAATCTGAAAACAGAAGAAAATATAGCTGTTGATGTATTTGTTACACCAGAAAGAATATATGTTTGTGAGATAACCACTGGTTATGTTGATTAAATCACACATCTATATTAAAATCCATCTTGTATAAACTAACATTTGTTAAACCYCACTCAGGTTCACCTCTAGAGAATAAGCATCTTTAAACTGGGTAAGTCAATGAAGACAGCACCTCTCAACCCAATGTAAGTCCTTTCTATTCTGCCACCACGAAACCCTGCACACAGTACTGTACAAGCACAACCAAATGCTAAAGCAAGTTTTCCCATGTCTTTGCCACAATCAAGCAAAGGCTTTAAGCCACAAGCTGTACAGTCAACTTGCCAGACCATTACTCCAGTCTAGCAAGGCAAACAYGTGTAGGTCACCTGGACAGTTTGTACTCTGTAGAACATACCTGTAAGAGAGACATTGGCCAGTGCCAACGAATTTGTTTTTCTTCCTGGCCCTTGATGCAGCAGTAATCTAATTGACTACACCAGTGCAAAGGGCAACATTTACATTGCTTTATTATACATTCTTCTTCTTTCATTTCCCACTGACTCCATATCTTTTACCTGGTTACTGTCTTAGTTAATGACTCTATTTATAAAGACTCTTTGGTAGGAGACATACTACTTAGCTTAAGGCTCCATACACAGACAACAAAGAAAGACAAGGTCCTAAAGTAGGTACTTTGGAGAGTCATGGCCTGACAAAATGCCTTAGTTTTTGATGGTCCTTCACCTGCTGGAACAATATATTCTATTGGAGCATCGACAACTCTTTCTCCAGGCAGCAGTATATCTGTTGTATTTCTTTATGAAGCATTGGCCCTGGAGGCATGTCCCTGGAATGGGATGTTTGTTGAAACACCTACTACTGACACTGATTAAATATTTCCTATTTTACAATAATCAGTTMTTTAAGAATACACATCTGAGATAACATGCAGTAATTAACTAAATTAAGGAAGTTCCTCAACCATGTTATTCATGTTCACATGGAGATTGCATGCTGTGTTAATTCATGATTCCCTCTGGAACATACAGTGTGACAAATTTATTTTATGGATGGAATCTGCCTGTGTAGTTTCCTGAGAATAGCTGTTCTCTGTCACTCTATCTTCCATTTAATGGGTGTTATCTGCCTAAAAACTTTTGTTTTGCCCTGATCACTTTTATTAAAAACAGTTGGACTTGGGCTCCAAAGGAAGTTTGAAGGTGTTCAACTGAAGGATCAGCAGCTGGTTTATTCATGTCTGAAAGATGTCCTTGATGCTAGTGGGAAAGTGTAGGGGACTGGTGTGATACTCATGAATGTTTGGTCGTAAYAAAAATCTTTACAACTACCCTAGTTCTTTCCACCCAGTGGCAATCTACCTTAGCTCTTATTTTGCTGACTTGAAAACATGAAGTGTCATTAATGACTGAACTATTCAAACTACTTTTTTTCAAGGACATGTGTTTCAGTAACTGATTTTTAAACAACACAGCAGAAGTGAAGTAGTAACAACAGCTTTAAATAAAAGAATAAGTCCCARAAAGGACGAAAAACAACATAGCTCCAGTCTCTAGCAAGAGACCATGCTGACTACAGACCAGAGCTTCTGAATTAACACACAACTCCAAGTAGTTACTTGTTAATTTGCTCAGTGCTTTGACACGAATAGCATGACAGCTGTAGGAGTCAGTAAGCACCTTGGTGCCTTAAGCTTCCAACTCCCAGCACAGAAAGAACRGAAAAAAACTCCATTTAACTGAAGGGTGGAAACATCATTTCACTAGTCTGAAGGCCTCTTTTATTAGAAAGAAACCAAATCAAATCAACCCTGAAGACCTAGAAATATTTAACATWAGCATTTCAAATTATCCAAGCAGGGCTCTTCTAGTTTTTTTCTGATTCAAGAAGAAAGCTGAACTGGGCCTAAAGAAATAAAGGTCAGCCTAGAATCAAGGATGTCTGAAAGAAGCTATAAGAATGAGCACACTTATCTAGAAAGACAGGCTTAAATATTGAAAAAGAGAGAGTATTGCTGGGCTGAAAAGCTGCTACCTTGGACACATGTCACTAAGAGTTCCAGAAGCGTGAAAGGAATATAGAGGCAGTTGGGTCTTCATATAGATGATGCCTAGAAAATTAACTTCTCTGTCTGTAGGGTAAGAGGCACAATAGTTCAATAGTTCTATAATATAATCCAAAAGTGAGAAACTAATCCCACTCTGCCCTGCCTTGCCATTGCTATCACTAGCTTTTAACTGCAGACAAACTACATGAATCCTATAGGATCCCTGTCATGGCGAATTGTTCACTTTGCACTTGGACCAAAGTTAYTATCTTATTTCATATCATCATGTTACTGAAAAACATTGTCTTCAACATCTCATAATGAAGCCAGAATGATTTTTCATTATTCCCCTGTCTACGCCTCTCAGTCTTCTATCACATATCAGAATCAGGTTATCCAAGAAGTAAGATATTTTTTGCAGTCTTTCTTAGCATCTTGGAAACTACTGCTTAGGAATCTTACCATTTYGAAAAGGAAAGCAAACTCTTGTAATGAATATTTACAAGAAAAGTACACATTTAGATAATGGTTATTTTTGTTTCCACAGATACAAAAAAATAATGCCAAATACATATTTGTCCCAATTAAAGTAACATCTCCACTTAAGTGGCAAAATAATGACAGAATCATAGAATCCTTAAGGTTGGAAGAGACCTTTAGAAATCATCTAGTCCAACCCCCCTGCATACACAGGGTCACCCAGAGCATRGGGCACAGGGCTGCATCCAAGCGGGTTTTGACAATCTCCAGAGAAAGAGATTCCACAACCTCCCTGGGCAGCCTGTTCCAGGGCTTTGTCACACTCTCTGTTAAGAATTTTTTCCTTAAGTTCCTATGGAACTTTTGGTGCTTCAGTTTGTGGCCGTTTCCTCCAGTTCTAGCAGTGGCCACCCCTGAAAAGAGGCTGAACTCATCCTCCTCACTCCCTCTCTACAGGTATTACCAGGATACACTTATCATATCTCAGCCTTCTCTTCTCCAGGCTGAACAGGCCCAGCTCTCTCAGCCTTTGCTCATATGGCACATGTTCCAGGCCCCTCATCATCCTCATAGCCCTGCGCTGGACTCTCTCCAGCAGCTCCACATCCCTCTTGTACTGGGGAGCCCAGAACTGGACACAGTCTCCAGRTGTGGCCTCACCAGGRCTGTGTRTAGGGGGACRATCACCTCCCTCGACCTGTTGGAGACRCTCTTCTTAATGCACCCCAGGATCCCGTTGGCCTTCTTGGCCACCAGGGCACACTGCTGCCTCATGGTCAACTTGTCGTCCACCATGACACCCAGGTCCCTCTCTGTGGGGCTGCTCTCCAGCAGGTCAGTCCCCAGCCTGTACTGGTATCTGGGGTTATTCCAGCCAAGCACAGGACCTTGCAAGACTATACTTCCTTGAATAAGTTCAAGTCATGAGACCTGTCCTAAAAAAATCTTTCTCCTACAGCAAAACAACTCACTAGCATTTTGAAAAAAAAGGACATTCTTTATCTATTTAAGATATGACAATTTACCTGGCAGTTTTAATTCCTCGATTTCAATCACGGAACGTCTTGCATCAAAATGCTGACTGAGCAAATCCTGAAGATCTTTAGGGACACCAGGTTTTGGAGCAGACTTTTCCAGAATATCAGAAATCTTCTTCTAAAAATAAGTAAAAGTATATGTGAGGCATTTCTATCATTTTTACTGTTTGACTAGTTAAAGACACTATATTGTTCCTCCACAATTCAATACAGAAAGTGCATAATCTGAAAAAAAGACCTTAGAATGGGATAAAATTCTCATTGCCTTTAGCAGGAATGCAGACTTCATAAATGAGTTCAGAGTCCTTCACAGGACAGCCTGTCAACTTGAAGACAAAAAATATCCTGGGCACTCAACTGAAATGTTGCCAAAGCAAAATGTAATGGAAAGCTGGTTTTTTTTTTTTGTGTGTGGTATTTGCTGTCATTACACTTAAGTATCAGTTTGAAAATCCATGTTTTCCCAACATTCATTTTAGTTTAGTAACGGGAATCAAGACATTATATATAAGATGGCCATATTTTGATTAGAAGACAGTAAAGAATGTTACCCACTTTSGAACGAAAGATGGTAAACTAAATTCACAGAATAATTTTAAAGTGCAATGGAAACCAGTCACAAAAACAGAGACAAAGCAGAAGGAGTGCAGCAGCTATTTTGAGCTTTTAAGATATATAACATTTTTAACCAAACTAATAGTTTTGGGCCTGGAGTATGACCTTCTGATAATCTTTCACAGCTGTGGAACATCACTGCAGAAATAGGTGTGAAAATTCTTCGCTTCTTTTTTATTTCTACTGCTTTTAMACATGGAGAAAATTGTATTTTTAAAATGATAACATCTTGACATCATTGAAATTAAAGTGTTGAATTTTTCATGTAATTCCACAAATCATGGGAGTAGAACAGTCCAGGATTCCCTTCATCAGAAGAATGTGGGATCGTTTCAGAATATGGGAGATTTTCAAAGAGAAAGATGGCCTGGAGAGAAAGGCATTGATGCAAAGCCCTTCTTGCTCTCACTGATAAAAGGATTCACTTGTGAAAAGACAGCTAAAGATTTCTCAGCAGCATCAGCCGAGCTGAATCTGCTGCCATGGGGACATGCAAGCCATCATGAGGACAGCATCATCCCAGAAGGGCAAGCCCCCCCCTGTACACCCTGCCTTTTCAGCGATCCGTGCTTAGGGACCTCTGCTTTAGCAGATAATAACCCAGAATGATCAGGTTCATTTTTTCCTTGGTAACGCAGCGTAACCTGCCATTGCACAGGAGCATTACGTCATTCTCTGGGCCACTTGGTTCCTTCAGGAAAAATATGGTCCTCTTGAGGGGAGAAGCCTGATACCAGTGAAACATTCCGTGCGAGCAAGAGCAAGGACACCTGAGCAAACTCTCTTCCTTCAAGGAGAGCTGTGGGGAAATGTCCCACATGCAGGAAGTTTTATTATTTTTCTTCCAATTCATTCCAGATGCTTAAAAGCAAAAGTTCTTTTTTTTTCTTTTTTTTTTTTTTCTTTTTCTTTTTCCCAGAGAAAGCAGTTTGTTTGGGAGCTATAGATTAGCTTGATAAGCATTTCCTGATGGATTTTTGGACAGGCTATATATGTCACCTTAAGTGCATATCCCCACTGCAACTAAAGCTGTAACTAAGCACCTAATGTTTGCCTGAGAATCGGGTGTTCATCTTAGGTTGGGTTCACCAGTTTCTATTGTGGGATTCTTGAGCCCTGGCTGCCGTGGAAGTAGCACCAAATTCATTTCTGCCAGGGCTGCCTTTAAAGCTAAATCCCACTCTTCCGTACATTAATTCTCCGGATGATTCAGAGGCCTGACATAACATAAATAAGTCACCTCTCTGCCCGGCGAGCAAGCCAAGTATTTACAGTCCATGCTGAAAATTAATTTGCCTGGTGCCATACAATCTCCATCTAGTCTGCAGCGTGGGTTTGTTGTTGAGGAGGAGGAGGGAGCATGGCCAGAGGGACAGTACAGAGCATTTATTTATATACCTATGCCACGGCGAGAAGAGGGAACAAGGGCAGTTCTTGGCTTCAGAAACATAACAGCAACTGGAGCCTGGCCACACAGCTGAAATAGGGAGGATGCTGCAGCACCTGAAAATCCACCTTTATCTAATACACTGATTTTCCCAGTGAGCAGCATTTGTAAGCTGGGTACAGAGGTACACAGCCCTTGACTAAGGCACAGGCAAGTGCCATGGTTCAGTTTTCATGGGGAGTGAGTTTTCAGAAGGAAGTAAAAAAAAAAGTGGGGATTAATATTCTTCTCTAAAATAGGCTGCAGTATCTTTGACCATATTACTCGACATTGTCATTCAGGGTTGTGAATCTTATAATAGCATAAGCACTCAGTGCCCTACATATATCTAGGACATTCATACCTTCTTTCTCTTCTTTGCTTTTGCAGTGCTCTCCTGTTTTTCTTCAGGCTGAGTTAAAAAGCACTCTGTAGGCTGCACAGCATATAAAAAGAGAGAGAGAGAAAAAAGAAAGATTTAACATCAGATATATGATCATCTGAAAAAAAAAAGCACAAGGTACTAGGAATACATAAATTGTGATACTGGGTTAAGGAAAAACAAGAACAAAAAGCCCAACAAACCTCCCCTTTTTAGAGGGAGTCGACCTAGTGCAACTTCAGAATAAAGACCTCTATTGTTGTAACTAGAGCAGAATAAAAAAGAAAAGCAAGAATTTATTTTTCACCATCAAGWGGGCAAAAGCAAGTTTGGATAAATTAAAAAAAAAAAAAAAGAGAGGAAAATCCATGAAGAGAACTTCCAAAAAATATGTATATTTAATCCCTGCTATTGTATATGATCATTTTTCTAAACTCTGCCAATAGGACTTTAAAATAACTGGGTCTAATATACACAACCAGATGGCAAAAGATATCATGGAACTGGGAGAGAATAATTGGAAATAATCATGCTCTGGATTTCTTTCCATGCTTGTAATGCAAAATTTAGGGAAAGATGTTTCAAATTTGCTCTGCTCCATTCTTGCTTTGTCTGCTCATAGCAAGCGGGGTCAAATAAACACAAGAAAAATACATGTTGCAGAATACAGAATAGCTTTTATCCAACACATGTGTCATTATTATTAACTCTCTCCTGTCCCCAGGTGAGCAGGCTGAATTTGTCTGTTAGCTAGAGTCCCTGTTCACAGAACACAGGGTGAGGATTTGTCTGAGAGCCCCCTGGAGTTGCTCAACACAGAGGAAGTGAGGGACAGTTTTCCTTGTTTTAGGCATGCCAGTTCTCTTTCTTTGGTCTTCTGTACATTACCAATGCAAACTAAGCTACAAATCTGGGTTTTAGAGCTTAACAGGTGATCAATGAAGAAATGCCCCCTGGGAAAAAGGGCTGAATTGCAGGGAAAAAGTTCCTTGACACTAAAATGCACATGGCTGGAAAAATCTACTCTTGTGAACAACTGTGGAGAAAACTCATTTGGGACATCAAAAACTCAGTCCTGCACGAGCCAGGCCTGCACTAGCCCCTAGGGAAGGCCTGAAGGGGAAATAGCAGCAGTCAAAGGAGTCTGGGACTAGAGAAACGCTCCTTCGTTCCCCTCTTGAGGCAGGAGTGACGGGACCTTCCTCCACTTAGCAATAAAACACAGAGTACCACCACACCCACCAGAAAAAAAAATGACCTTTCTTGTTTTATGTGCTGCAATGCAAACACAGTCAACACTAGTAAAGACACTAAAGCTGTACAGAGATGGCYGAGGTTGGAAGTGAGATGTAGGACCTAGTAGACAAGGTTTGCCCAGGGCAAACTCACTACATCTGCACCTAGGCCTGGAATTCGTATTGCAGCCTAGGTCAATGCCTACCCATAAGAGAGTCCACATCTTGCCTCAACAAATAGGGATCTGCCCCCGTGATTTTCTCAAGTATAAACACATTGGATCACCACTGGAAATCAAGGGACTGACTGAAAGTAGAAACTCATTTGCCCTAATAAGGTTACAGGGTTAACATAAGATTTTTGGTTTTATTTTTTATTCTTTAATCTCTGTCATGACTCCAACACAATTGTTTTTAAGAATACTGTTCATTTCTCCATTCCTAACCCTGCTGCTAGCATTCCCAGACGTTCCGACGGAAACAGAGCTACCCTCTGCCTTCAGCTCCTGCTCTACCCTGACACATCCCAGCTGTCCACAGATATTGAAAGACCACTTTCCAGATGTTATGATCCTAATTTCTATATTCAGCATCACATTTTAGGCAGAAAACAAGTCTTTGTACTGATTTAGTCATGGGACACTACCAAGCCATCAAAGAGCCAGAATCTTTTTCTGAATCTTTTTCTTCCTGCAGAATACAATGGTTCCTTAATCTAGGAATCTTCACCACTCTGTTTATGAGTCTTTCAGAATACAAAAAATGCCCATCAGTCATGTTGGGCCCATTTCTCCCTTCACAAACATCATGACCTGCTTCATATAAATGTGAAAAACACCACGTGCATTCCCAACTGGGATCTGTGTGACAAAAGAATAAAACCCACAGAGCTGAAAAACGTTCTCTAATAGAAAAGAATATTTCTCACTGATAGCTCTTCATTCAAATGCTTAAAATACATTCAAATGCTTAAAATACCATCAAATGCCATGGCTTCTTTTCCGAACACAGTATGAAGCCCTTTCTTTCAATGGCAACAGAAGTACGCAGCAGGCTTGTAGGCCAAGCCTTGCTGCTTCACACCACCATAATAGGCAGATTCACAAAACTCCTTTATAGCAGCACATTAAGCAGACTCACAGAACTCCTTTCCAGCAGCACATACATATATATACACATATATATGCATACATACACACATACATATGCATGATGCACTGTTAGACCAGAAATACAAGTCTACTGTACCTAGACAGTAATAAGAAAGCCATAAAGGTAGGAGAAACCAAATGGTGGTGAATGGCTGTACATCTACACGTCTTTTGATGATCCTAAAATACTTAAGCATCTGATGTAGACTGAACTTCTGACCCTGTCATAAGTGCTAGCTGCCTACCTACTCATTTGATAGCTCTTCACATGCCACCCTTAAGCAAAGGTCTTTTGAGTGTTTTTCTTATGCGTGATGCAGAACAGACAACCTACTGGCTTTTGACATGGCTCCCTTGTGCTCTGTGTTCTTAGCTGTTTTTACAAGGAAGTTCTTAAAATGCAGAAAACAGGAAATTTGTGCTGAGACCACTGATTTATGAACTAAAATGTCATAAATTCCTTGTTTGTTAATCATTGACAGAACATAAAATATTTCCTGTATTATATTTCTAATACAACTTTTTTCATTACATTTTGCCAAGTTACTGGAAATTCAAATGTAAAGTGGAAACACTCTTGTATTTGTGTGAAATTTTACCTCCTAGGTCAGTCATATACTCTGGGAGTTAGTGACAAAGTAAACACATCTATGCTCCATTCAGATCAGAAACAAATTATTCAAGTCATGGTAAGCCTAAGGACAGTCTGCAGACTGGAAACATAAATGTTCATAATTCAATTTAGTTGTCTTCTGACTGGTTTTAAGATGCCAAGACCTCTGAAGAATAGCTTCCAGACTGTGAACGAGGCAAGGATGAGAGAACAAAACATGCTGCATTAAACATACCAGAAAACAAAACYACTACCTTTGTACAAATACAACTGATCAGCAAACCTTTTTGTTATGTAAGACCTGCAACAACACTATGGCAATGAGCTCCTATCAGCCATGAAACTCTATAAAATAATGATTTAACCTCAAATACCTGTCCAAAATACAAATTGGTATTTCTTATTGTAGAGGCAGGACTGGGCCGGGTGCGCTGGGCAACAGGCGAGCAGCTTCAGCTCCCAATCAGCAGGATGATCTGGGTTCATTTATCCTTCCTAGCATTCCCATACAACGAACAAAGCATGAGGGAAATTTGTTTGTCAAAGATGCCTTTTCCAGGGTGTACTCCATGTGGTGCTGAGAATCATAGCTCCTACAGGTGCTAGAAGAAACTTTCAGCAGTGCAAGGCTATGAAAACATCCATTGGGACCTAAATTCTTCTCCACTTGGACAATTCAATGGAGTTATATTTGAGTGGAAATGCTGTAAAACATTTTAAATACAGCTTCCAAGGTCTCAGGTGTACAACCAGAGGAATCCAGGGACAACCACTCAGGGTTATATCACTGAGTTAGAGTGATATTAGAAGACATGATGCAAGGAGCAGGCTCAACAATCTCAGCTTACACAAAACAAGAATGAAGTTATTATTGAAATCTTCTGGAACCCAATCACTTACAAATAAATCCAAATCACAAAGGATCTTATTACACAAAAAATGGATGAGACAATACAAAAAGAAAACTGCTTCCTTATTGAAAGAAAAGGGACTACATTTCCTTATGCAGTCACCTCTGTGCTCTACATAACCACTCAACTTACAAACCTTCTTTCTTTTCTTTGTCACAGCAGGTTTGGAGTCTGATTCCTGATGCATTGCTCTCCACTYCTCACTTGTCTTCTCACTAGCTTCATCATCCGAGGAATCTGATGAGAAAAAAAGGAGTTTTGTTACGCTGTTTTATTTTTAAAATCTACTTCTACCTTCACATACAGAAATAAGGATATGTTCAACTGAAGGTTTGTCACAATAATACAATTCTAAGATTGGCAATAAACAYAGCTGTAACAGAAATTAGTATTATTTTACTGGTATTTGATATTTGCCTAAAAAGAGGTACCATTTTCCCTGTTCTTCACAATATTTCATCTAGAAATAATCTTTATTTAGCTTTCTGGATTTCTGCAAAGCTGCTACTATTTGCAGAATCACCAAATACATCAAATACATTTACAGACCTATCTCAGCAAAACTTCAGACCAMAAAACAAGCAACAGCATTGCTGCTGCAGACTAAAAAAAGCAATGGCTCTTTGGACCAGAGCTTTACTTAGAAAGCTTTCCTGCTAATCCTACTGACACTTCTCTTGGAATGAGTCATCTTCTCCTACAAAAAACAAATCTTGCAGATGAAGAAGGAAAAAAAAAATCAAACTCAACACCTACTCATGCATGACCTCTCCAAGATATTCTTGCTAAAGTTCCAAAAAAGTCCAAAATGCCTTACTAATTACCTACAAGAGTAAAAAATCTAAGAATGGTGTAATGTCAGATTGTATACAAACAATTTTTGTGATCCTATTTTTAGTTACATGACTCATCAGTAAYAGCTAGGCAAAGACACTATACACTCATTTCAAGCACAGTCACCACAAGACTAAAGCTGCTGATGTTTTCCAGGAAAACTCTTTAGATTAAGATGTTGTCCACTCATTTGCCACATCCTTTTCATTAGCAGAGAGATTTGGGAGGGGAAAAATACCCACAGACTTCCTCATAGAGCGTCTTTATTCTTCCACAGTTGTGCCACTACACACTGCATAGCAATACGTTTGTGGCTTGGAAAATCCTAACGCCAAAAAAAAAAAAAAAAAAAAAAAAAAAAAGCCAAACCCTGGCTAACAAGTTTTATAGTTTTATATGTATTTACACCTGGAAAGTGTTTTCTTCTAATTTTCACCCTTTTTACAACTTGAAAAATCTGCATAAGAGTCAGTGTCCCAAAACCAGCTTGAAACAGCTGTTAAAGAGTTTTGAAGATTCTGGGAGCTTGAGAGCTAGCAAATGAAGAAAATCAGTGAATATTTTAGCAGATTGGATATCATCTGTCATGCAATCTTATTTAGCTCAGATTAGATTTCTGGAAAACTGCAGAAAGCAGAGCAGGGGCTGAAAAGAGATCTTGTTTTCTGTCCAATGCAACTCACAGATGCTAAACGAAGATTAGCAGCAACATGAGGCAGAGCCCACTTTGCACAATAACTAAGTCAGCCTCATCAGAGGAAGCTACATACTCATCTGGGGATCTCTCCTCAAAGGAGGTGGACAAAGCAGGTGACAGGTCTAAATCCCAGGCCATGGGCACACACACCAGGATCATGACCTAGAAGAACTGCAGGTGTTCTCTAGCACTACTGCTACTACTACTACTTTTATTAGTACAGTGCTTTCTACTGTCTCAATAGTGCTCATCAGACAGTGGCCAAGGACGTAAGATTTTCTGAGAAAGTCTGATGACCACTGAAAGTGGCCAGGAGATACTATTCCAAAGCTCACTTGTTTTGTTTCGCTTCTTGATGTCTTCAGTGGTGACATGGGTTTATTTTATTAGAAATRTTTATGTCAATACTCACAAAATTCTATCTAGTCCTGCACAGGCTAACACAGGGCAGCAGGTCAAGTGGGGAAGATACAAATGTGAAGATTTAGGAGACTAAGAATGATGGAGCTTCAGTATCTGTGTCACTCTACTGGGCTTCTAATTCCTATTCTCTTGAAAAACGTCTGAGTGGACCTGCACTAGAGGTTCCCTCTACATGCCTGCAGCTCCTTCCTGCCTCTATTCTTATCCAAAGTGACTGGCCAGTTATGTCTTCCATAACTTCCATAACTTACATCTTCCATCGACTTTGGAGTCTGAGATACATTGCTTCATTAAAAGAAGCTGGAAGATTATATTGTCAATATTCTTGAAAGTCTAAGTGTGCTTTGGTATTATCACTGAGCTCTACCATGGTCTTGCTTCCCCCAATATGACTGCGTCCAGCAAATTTCCTACATGGCATTTTGGAASAGCAGCTTCTGAGTCTCAGTAACCAATATTTACCTTGGCATATCACCCCCTTATATATTCTGTCCTGACTGCAGAGGTGTTCAAGAGGCTACCAGCTTTTGCACATATCAGCACTACAGCCCTGGGTGCCCTGAAGCCAAGCAGGCTTGGGGTAGATTGCACAAACGAAGTACACCAAACAGTTCAGAATGAGTGCCCTCTTCATTCCTCTTGCTGAGCTTCTCCATAGCCCCAAAGCACTCATACCTAAATAAATTTGTGCATATGTCATGGAATTGAAATACTGATCCAGCTCCTTCTCAGTGCACCTCGCACTGGAAATAAATGAAAGGAGAGAGAGTTGGGAGAAAACCCAGTGTGATCTGCAAGCATTCCTTTTAAATCCCACTTGGCGTGTTTTGAAAGGCAGATAAGAATATCTAATGCTCGGGGAAGCCTGTTCTCTCTCTCGTAACTAAAAGATACCCTAGTAGCAATAGCAATCTAAAACTGGACATATGGTTTCCATGATATCACCTGATAAACAATGTGCCACCTGCTCCCTGCCCGTCTGAGCCCTGCACAGCACGTTGTGATGCAAGGCCCTTCTCCTCTTTCAGTCAGGAATGGAAGAAGACAGAAAGAAAAGTCTGGCCCCAGACTCAACAAATATCTCTGAAAACATCTCTAATCCGAGCTCCTTTTCTCATATACCAGTAGTACTTCTCCTTTGTTGTGCAAACAGGCAATACTGGAACAGGCTGCCCAGGGAGGCTGTGGAGTCTCCTTCTCTGGAGATCTTCCAAACCTGCCTGGATGCCGCCCTGTGCCCCGTGCTCTGGGTGTCCCTGCTGGAGCAGAGGGGTTAGACAATCTCTACAGGTCCCTTCCAACCTCAACCATCCTGTGATGCTGTGAATATCCCAGTGAGACAGCAGCTAGCGTCAAAGTTGTGATTGCTTGTGACACCACGTCAACTCCAGAGATAACAGGAGGGTTTTACTGGAATGTCCAAGTACCCGAGGCCAGGCCCTGCCACCCTTGCTCACACGGAGCAGTGCATCTCACTCTGCAAGCAAGTACCTGGAAGTCAGTAATGTAATTCATAAAGCTAAATATAACTGAACGTGAATAAATGCAGAAACATCCAGCTCACAGATTCCACAGAACAGCAACTCTCCGCAGCCGCTCTCCTGCAATGTATGTGTGTATCGTATGTGAATGCAAGGTCATAAAAGAATGCTGAATTGTCACAGAGTACTCTTGATGTACATAAATAAATGCATATTGGAGAGCTCGTCATGTTCTTTGGTATTACATCAGCAGGATGTCACAYAGGCAACTGCTAACAGGCTTCTTCAGGCATTAGACATTTATTTTGGACTGCACTGAAAATTTATGCTTAATACACACAAAAATAGATTTTCTCATTTTCTCATTCCCATTATTGCAGTCATTCAATGCAATGGCTTCCAACTTCTTTCATATACACATATACATTCACCTGAGTGCATCAATAGATATACTAAATACATATACACACAMATATATATGTATTAACACATGTACATACACCTCTGTGTGTGTTACACACATAGTATAAATAGTCAAACAGATATGTATATAATTCAACAGGTTTCCTTTAATCATCACCTTTATTAACTATAACAGMCATGAAGAAGTTTTATTTGCCTGGTTATTTATTGTGGTATTTCTACAGGCAGAGAAGGCATGGATGGTACCTGAGGCCACAACGCATGCTGTGATGTGACTATGATTTTGYTCGTATTATCTCCTACATACAAATTTGTGTTTGCTAGGCTGTTTCATCATTATTGAGTCTTTTGACCTTTGCATGCCACTTTCCTACTCTAATGTGATTAATAAGGGAGCTAAGGTGACCGCAATATAAATAATTCTTTTAGCAACTCAACTAGACTGATTGAGAAAGTAAAATTATTCCAGGAGCATACTGCCACAAAATAAACAAAACGTTACCACCAAAAAGAACAGAAAATAATCTTATAATTCTTTGGAAAAATTTGTCTTATGCTCGGTCATTCTATCACTGAAATAAAGGAAGCAAACAAAAAAAGATTCAAGACATGGGAAGTTCTTTTGGTTTTTTTTGAGACAGAGAGGAGGCATGTTGCTTACCACATGTCAAAATATAGGAAGAACCAAGAAACATGTAAGGTCAAAAGGTAGTTACTGAAGTTTGGGTCAGAGAAATATTCTTTTGCTTAAGTACCCAAAGGTACATAAGGAAATCATTTCCATTAGGTTTTTAATTTGGAAGTGAGAATGGACATTAATTTGATATCCACAAGACACACAATAAAGGACAGTAAAAGAAAAGTTCTTGTAGTTAAACTAATCACTGCAGTGGAATTTGGAAGGAACCTGCCTTCCATGTCCATGAGGAAAATTCCTTCACTTCTACTTCTGGCACAGCCCACAGTCAGAGACATACTCTGGGTCAGAAGTGTCCATAGGTCTGAACCGTTACGTGAAGTCCTACATTCCCCTTATGCTCCCATCAGTCCTATTTATCAGTATTCACCTAGATGTTGCACAAAAACAACCTTTGTATGTGATTTATTCTTGCAAACTCGGTCTCTCCCCTTCTTTTTCCCCTTACTTTAGGCCCTCTCACAGTCCTAAAATTGCCTCATACCAAAAATTAGAACGTAAGAAACTTTGGGTAGGGCCTGTGCTTTCCACTTCTTAAGAGACAGCCCTGGATTTTTTATTTGCTATGCTAACCTGCTGGTTTAAGAAACACTGCAGGAAAAAGGCATGAGCTAATTATTACTCTGTAGGTAGGTAAGGTTCAGGCACAGTGTGCTGGATTATCTTGCACACATCTTTGAAT